CAATGTCTGTTTTGAAAGGCCAAGAGGAAACAGTCTCATGTTATACCAGGGAATATTTAGATCCTAAGTGGATGTTAGGAAAAAATTCTTCACTGAAAGGGTGGTGAGGTGTTGGAACAGGCTGGTCAGGGCAGTGGTGGAGTCTCCAGCCCTGGAAGTGTTCAAAAAACTCCAAGTGGATGTGGCACTTGAGGGCATGGTTTAGTGGTGAATGTGGTGCTGCTGGATTAATGGTTGGGCTTGGTGACCTTGGAGGGCTTTTCCAGCCTCGGTGATTCAGTGATTCCAAAGTGCCTGAATGTCACCCTCAGCAAACAAGGGAGGATTCAGGGATATTTCTGGTTTTGAGTATCCATGTGGCCCAAATGATGAGTTTTAGGGCTCAGAGTGGGTTGTGCCACACTCCTGCCCTTCTGTGTGCCAGGAGAAAGGGACAGAGAACATTCCTGAGGCTGGACACCTCCCTCTGCTGAGGAACCACATCTCATTCCTCACTCAGTTCAGCTCATCCTCTCTCAGCAAGAGGAGCCAGGCACTGGAAGTGGCTCTTGGAAGGGAATCACTGAAGCTGCCCAATGGCCTTTGAAATGCTTGGAAGCTCTGCAGTGGCTCAGACAGCCCTCAGATCCTGGAATGGCTCTGGGAATCCCCTTGGCAGCAGCCTGATTCCTGAAGCTCATGTGCCATTTCTGCCTCAGTGCTGACTTGGAAGCAGGAGCCAAGGAATCCCACCAGGATAAAAGCTGCCTGAGGATGCCAGGGAGGAGATGAGTGATCCTTCACTGCTGACAGGGAAGGCTCCTTGTGGGAGAAGGGAAACTGAGCCTCCACAGCTGAGCAGTGATCCCACAGGTGCAGCTGGGACCGCTCTGGATGTGTCTGTGCCTCTTCCCAAGTTCCTTCAAAGTCTCCATTCAGAGCTTTGCCTGTGGCTGAGTGGGATCCCAGCTCTGGGATCCTTCCTGCTGGGAGCTGGAGCTGGACACAGCCCTAATCTAGTCCTGAGCAGTGTGAGCACAGGCTCCCTGTGCCTTTGCAGCAGGAATTCACATCTGAGCTGTGACTTAGGAGTATCTGCACGTTCCTAAACTGTCCCTGCTCCTCTCACATGAAAATCCAGCATGGTTGAGGTCCTAAAATAGCCCAAAACATTGGGAAAAGGAGGTGTATTTTTGAAGGATGTTAAAGTGCTAAACTCCCTTCTTGTCTTGAAGTCTTCAAGGTGTGGTGTTAAAGTGCTTGTCACATATGGGGTGTTAAATATGTTTATGGTTTTGGGAACCTGTATTTGGGCTGGGCTTCTACAAGGAGAAAGTGCCATTGTTTTGGGTCCAGAGCAGGAGTTGGTGCTGATAAATAATAACAACCAGCTGGGTTCTGATTTCCCTGTTTATCTCTTGCCAAAGTTGAAAGGAAACCTAAATTAATCCTGTGCAAATCTTTCCTCCAGGTCATCTTCAAAGTGAAATGTGCAGCTGAATTCAACAAGTACAAGTAAGTGCTGCTGTCCTGACCTTGCCTGCAAAGCTGGTCCCAGGGGAACTGGCTGGGAATGGGAGGGTCAGCCCCAAAAGATGAACAGAGCTCTAATTCCAGACCTGTGCTCTGAGAAAGGAGCAGGAGTGGGAGCTTCAGGGCTGCCAGAGGAGCTCAAGCATCCCAGCTCCCCTGGGTGGACTCTTAGGGTCACTCTGAGCTGTCCCAGCCCAGCACAGATCAGCAGAACAAGGCTTGAGCCATGGGTGAACCCCAAGTTTGTGCAGCCCAGGGAGCCCCAGGGTGGAAAATGCAAGCTCCAGGGGCTCTCAAGGAAGGAGTTGCAGTGGTGCTGATGACTCATGGCTTATTGACTGGAGTTAATGCAGAGCTGGAGCAACACTTCAAATCTGCAAGATAAGAACCTGACTGTCAGAAGATGAGTCTTGTAACTCATGACTGCTTACGCTGCTCATGTGTTCTGAGAGCAGCTCCAACAAATCCTCTGCAGCCTTGGGCTGCCAATACAGCCCCTGAAATTTGCTGGAATGCCTGAGCTGCCCAGCAAGCTGAGCCCTGGGAGGCTCTGCTGACACAGGAGGGAGGTGCACAATGAACCTGGCCTTGTCACACTGACCATTTTTCCCCCTCACCGTGTCTCCAGGGTCCTGCTGTACCTGGGCTCCATCCTCACCAGCCTCCTGTTCCTGGTTGTGAATTTAACCTGTGCAATGCTGATCCATGGAGAGGTCGCAGAGAAGCAGCTCAGGTGGACAGTCCTGGCCCGGGCTCTGGTCAACGACAGCCTCTTCATCCTCTGTGCCATCTCCCTGGCCTGCTGCATGTGCAAACTGGGAAAGATGTCTTCAGCCAATGTCTACCTCGAGTCCAAGGTGGGTAAATGCCTTGGGAATTCCCTCTGGGACTGCTCAGCTGGAGCTGGGTGTGCTCACTCAGGGCAGTGCTGGCCTGGTGGCACCTGAGCTGCTCTGGCTCAGATTCTCCTCCCACTGTGGAGGTGGCAATTCCTGGATTCCTCCCTTTCACAAAGTGCATGCTCCTGCTGTGGGAGTGATGTTTCCTGCGTGTTTTAGGGAAATACTTTGTCTGCAGCTTTGGCATAACAGATTTCTGAGCTGCTTCTGCTTTTCAGGCACAGAAAATCCCAGGTTTGCCTTGAAGAGAGGTTTTTCTCAGAGCAGCAGATGCAGTTTTTGCTGTAAATTTACCTGTAGCAGATGTGTCATGATTCCCTGCAAAGGGGATCCCCAGAAATCCAACTTTAGGTGGGCTCTGCTTGGGTAGGATGAGATGTCCAGGGTGAGATGAGCATTTTGGAATGGGAGGAGAAGTTGCTGTAGGTGCTGTCCCAAAGCAGGACAGCTGAGGGTCTGAACACACACAGCTCTTCTCCAGCAGCTAAGAGAGTGGAAAAGCCACCAGGATTGTGGCAGGAGGCTGCAGTCAGTGTCCACCTGAGCTCCTGGAAACATCCAGAGGAAAAAGCAGAGCACCTGAGCACAGCCAGCTGTTGCTGAGGCTTTCTCTAGGAGATGTGTGGCTCCTTGAGCAGCAGAGGGCATCGGTGGCCTCTGGGAGTGCAGGGGGTGAGGGCTGGCTCTGTGACAGCTGCCCAGAGGCTGCAGGTGGCACCCAGCTCTGCAGTGAGGCAGGGACAGAGGAGCTGCTCACACCCCTGCTGGCCTGGGCCTGCTGTCCAGCTCTGCCTGCCTCTGACCCTCATTAACTCACCCAGTTCCCCCAGTGCAGCAACTTCCTCTCCTCAATGCCTGAGGCTGCCCCTGGGCTGTGTACAATGTGCTCCAGGGAAGCCTCTGCTCTGCACTTGGATACTCACCCTGCTGAAGGTCTCTGCCTCCCTCCCCTGCCTTGGGGGCATCCTCTGATGTTCTGTGAGGGAAATTGCTGCAGAAATAGGCTGGGGATGAGCAGAAATGTCACACAGATGCCCCAGAAGGTTGTCCTGCCCCTGAACTCAAAGGCACACGGCAGGGCTGGAGGTGGGAAGGAGGTTGGACTGCAGCCAGCTCCTGTCCTGGGGTCCTTGGGAGCTGCAGATTTGCTTCAGCAGCCTTTGTGCCTCATTGTGCTGCCCTGAGCACCACAGGCTCAGCTTCCAGTGGCAGCAGGGTGTGTGCTGGGCTGTCACTTGTCTGTTGGCACCTCTCTCCTGCTGACTCTGAGCTCCAGATCGAGGAAAATAGAGCTGGGATGTGCAGCAGAGCACTGGGATGAGCTTCCCCAGCAGGTTCTCTGCTTAAACACAAAGGCAGCTCAGGTGCTGAGGGGTGTTTTCCCCTCACTGTGACTTGCTGCCTCCCAGCAGCCATTAAAGGGATTCATGGATGGATTTAACAAATCCTGGTTTGTCTCAGCATTTCTGAATGGTTTGAGTTGGAAGAGATCTTAAATCCCATCCAGTTCCACCCCCCTGCCATGGGTTACCTTTAACTATCCCAGGCTGCTCCAAGCCCATCCAGCCTGGCCTTGGTCACTGTCAGGGATCCAGGGGCAGCCACAGCTGCTCTGGGCACCCTGTGCCAAGGCCTCACTACCTCAAAACCAACAATTTACTCCCAATATCCCATCTAACCCTGCCCTCTGTCTGTTTGAAGCCATTCCCTGTGTCCTGTCCCTCCAGGCCATTGTGAATGGTCTCTCTCCATCTTTCCTGTGGGTTCCTTTCAGGTACTGGGGTTCAAACTCTGGGTCTTTCTGCCCACCCCAAATACCTGAGCTCCTTTCCTAGAGCAGTGTTGGGGTGCTGGGTGGCTGCAGGTGAAAGGGCTGGGTCAACACCTCTGCAGGGTCTGGGCTGTGAAGCAGAAGTTGATTTTCTTGCTGGTTGGTTTTTGGCCTCGTGGAGATTCCCAGAGGTAGGCAGGGGTTGGAACAGCCTCTCCCTGGACCCCCAGTTTGGAGCTGACTGATAAAATCTTGCCAGGGACACTCCAGTGCCTCAGATCCTTCCCTGCTCCCAGGCAGCTCTGGCTGTGTGGCTCCTGCAATGAACTCATCACATGAGAAAGCTCTTAGCCAGCTCTGAATATTTTAGCAACAACATACAAATGTTCTGGGTCATTCTTGCCTGCACAGCTGCTCATGCATTTAAGGGAACGGGGAAGAACATCACAGCTCTGTATTGAAACTCTTTTTATTTCTTCCTGTCCTAGGGAACATCTGTCTGCCAGGCTATTCTGGTGGGATCTGTAGTGGCCCTCCTGTATTCCTCAAGGGCTTGCTATAACCTGGTAGCTGTGGCCATATCTCCAGACAATGTTCCTGGTCCTTTTAACTATGGCTGGGACAACCTTTCAGACAAGGTGAGTGTGTGACCCCCCCAAATCCAGAGCCAGTGAAGGGACATGCAGTCACTCCTCATCCTGGGAGGGTGAACAGGGGGTTTTGGGGGGATGTCTGGATAGCTGAACCCCCAAATGAGCTGCCTTTGTGCTCTGCTTGCTCTCTGCACCCAGCAAATCCGAGTCCTCCTCTCCCCAGCCACTCCTTCAGGAAGGATTCCCTGCTCTTCCCTTCCAGCCTGCCAGCTCTTCTTGTGAGGGAGAGGAGGGACAACTCAACTAGAGCAGAACAGCAATGCTTAATCGGGCATGGCTGTGTGTGAGGGAGAGCCACTGGTGTGGGCAGGAGCTCCCAGTGCCCTGGTGGCACCCTCTGAGCAGAACCAGCCCACCCAAACCAGCAGCAGCACCAGGTGAAGGTTGCTCTGCTGCTCTGGGGACTCCTGCCTTTGGAAAGGTTGCTCTGCACTCCCAGTTCCAGCTTTTGGGAGCTCTGTGGGTGGCTGGCATGACACAGACCCCTCTGCCTTGTGCCCACAGGTGCACGTGGAGGTGAGCAGTGAGGAGTACGTGGTGTTTGGAGTGGTCCTGTTCCTCTGGGAGCTGGTGCCAACCACGTTCGTGGTGCTGTTCTTCCGCGCTCAGAGACTGAGCCAGAACCTGGTAGGCCTCAGCAAATCCCCCTGTGCTGGGAGGATGCCTGGGATGGCTTTTGGGGGATGTTTTGCTTCTGGCCTAACTCCTTTCTCCTTGGCAGACTCCAGCAGGGATGGTCAACAGCCACAGCTACAGCTCCAGGGCCTATTTCTTTGACAATCCCAGGCGCTACGACAGCGACGATGACCTGTCACGGCTCGGGGCCAGGGAAGGAGGGTAAGGAAGGGTTGTGCTGCTGCTCTGCTGCCCTCTGGGGCAGCACCAGAGCTCCTGGCTTCTGCTCCCAGGAAAATCTTTGGTGGAAAAGGCAGCTTGGGTGAGGTAGATGGGGCAGGGAGCCTCTGACAGAGCTTTTGTTCCCTTGTGCAGCTCACAAGGAGTTGCTTTTATTGGGCAGAAGTGAGCAGCTCAGAGAGGTGGATGGTGCTCACAGGTGGTGATGCAAACAGGAGAACCTCATCCAGGAGGGGTGGGATCCATTTCAGAGGGCTCTGGAATGATCTCCAGAGGGGTTTCTCCACTGGGGAGTGAGAGCTGGTGAAGTTCTGGAAGGGAGCTGGGACAAAGCTCTGCAGGAAGTGCTGATGTGGGGGACAATGGTCAGGGATCCCCAGCAGAACTCTTGCAAGGCATCCTGGCAGCCCTGTCACCTGTCTCCATGGAATGGTTGGGGCTGGAAGGGACCTTAAAGCTCCTCTTGTTCCACCCCCTGCCATGGGCAGGGACACCTTCCATGATCCCAGGGTGATCCAAGTCTATCCAGCCTGGCTGAAACACTTTCCTTCCTTTCCACTTCACTTCCTAGTCCCTCACTGTTGGAGTAAATCAGCTGAGACTCCATCTCCTTCATGCAGAAAGCAAATTCTTTATTCACAAAGCTGATGTTTGTAGGAAATATCAGCTCTGTATTAAACCCAATTTGT